TCCTCCATCCTCCATCATCCATCCATCATCCACCCTCCATCCATCCATCATCCATCCATCATCCATCCATCATCCATCCACCAACCATCATCCATCCATCATCCATCATCCATCATCCATCCATCATCCATCATCCATCCATTCTCCATCCCTCATCCATCCATCATCCATCCATCATCCATCCTCCATCCATCCTCCATCATCCACCATCCATCATCATCCATCCATCATCCATCCACCATCCATCATCCACCCATCATCCTCCATCATCATCCATCCATCATCCCCCATCCACCCTCCATCCATCATCCATCCACCATCCATCATCATCCATCCATCATCCCCCATCCACCCTCCATCCCTCATCCGTCCATCCTGACCACCCCTATACTTACCTCCCACGGTCTTTCCATCCACAGATCCTTGCACCCAGCTCGCTACTGTCCATTTCCCCGTCCCCGGCCTGCCGTTTTACCTCCCCCATCACCTACCCTGTCTATGTCCTCCCCTGCGTGTCCACAGCACCTGTCACTCCATCTACCCTGCATGTCCTTCCCGACCTACCTCTCTGCTGACCCGCGTCCCACTGTGCCTGTGCACCCACCTGCCGTGTCTCTTTCTGTCTGTCCATGCATCCGTCACCTCTGTCCGTCAAGTGTCCATCCGTCTACCTGCCTGTCCTCCTGTGTAGCTCTGCGCCTTCCTGTCCCTGTGTGCTGTGTCCATCCATGGCCCCACCCGTCACGACCCAGCTGTCCCACGGAGGCCAGCGCACGGTGTCCCAGTGCCCACAGTCCCCCCCAGCGGGGGGCTGGAGGCTGCCGGGGACAGGTTCAGCCCCACCCGAGGTCCGTCCACCCCCGGAATCCAGGGGAGTAGCGGGTCCTGCTGGGTCCCCTAATAACTGGCCTGCTCTTGCTGTGCCCGAGGCCCTGTTCACGGCGTGCAGGCTGAAGGTGTTTGACGTACTAAGGGATGAAGCCCCCTTGACGGCCGAGGCCGTGGCCCGCAAGATCGACGCCTCCTTGGGTGGCACCGAGCGGCTCCTGGACGCCTGTGTGGCCCTGGGCTTGCTGGAGAGGACAGAGCAGGGTAAGCGTCCCCAGGCTGGGGTGCAGGCTGATGCCCCTGGGGGAAGGCGTGTTCCCCGCCAAAGGCGTCTTTCCTGGCAGGTGATGGATGGAGGGGGGTGGCTGTAGATTGCAGATGACAGCTGTGTAGACAGGGACGTGGCCCCTGCCCCGGTGGGAGGGCAGATGGGCAGCCGGGGACTCGTCCTCTGAGAAACCCTGTTCATGGCTACAAACTTCAACTGATTAGACGTGGCCCGCCGGTAAGGGGTTGTCTTAGTGACTGGTGCAGAATACCTTCGTTCCCTGAGAAACCCCAGTCACGCTGTGGCCTTCGACTGATTTGATATGGCCCACCCTCGCCAGTTGAGAGGCGGCCTTAGTGACCACTGACACCGGGACCCTCAACTGATTAGACGTGGCCCACCCTCATCTGTAAGGGGCTCTCTTTGTGACTGGTGCATTATCCCTTCCTTCCCTGAGAAACCCCATTCATGCTGGCCTTCGACTGATTTGATGTGACCCACCCTCACCAGCGAGGGGCGGTCTTAGTGGCTGTTGATGCGGTGACCTTCGACTGATTAGATGAGGCCCACCCTCGCCGGGGAGGGACCTTCTTGGTGACTGTTCACACCGTGACCTTCGACTGATTTGACGTGGCCCACCCTCACCAGTTGAGGGCCGGTCTTAGTGACTGTCGACGCGGTGGCCTTCGACTGGTTGTATGTGGCCCACCCTCACCAGTAACAGCTGCCTTCGTGACCGGTGCAGAACCCTTTCCTTCCCCGAGAAACCCCATTCACGTGTACAACCTTCGACCGATTAGACGTGGCCCACCCTCGCCACTGAAGTGCTGTCTCAGTGGTCGGTGCAGAATTCCTTCCCTGAGAAATCCTGTCCGCAGCTCAGACCTTCAACTGATTAGATGCGGCCCACCCTCACCAGTGAAGTACGAGGCCGTGCAGCACGAGGCTGAGGGCCTCTTAGGGACTGGTGTGGAATCGCTCCCTTCCCTGAGAAACCTGGTTCACGCCTATGACCTTCAACCGATTAGACGCGGCCCACCCTCAATAGCGAGGTGATCCCTTAGTGGTCAGTGTAGGATTGTTTCCTTCCCTGAGGAACTGCACTCGTGCCTACAGCCTTCAACTGATTAGATGTGGCCCAGGTGCTGTTTGTGGTCTCTGCAGATTTCCTTCTTTGAGAAACCCTGTTCACATGTATAACCTTCAACTGATTAGACGTGGCCCCTCCCTCACTAGTGAGGTAGTCTCTAGGGTGCAGAATCCCTCTCTTCCCTGAGAAACCACATTCGTGCATACAACTGTCAATGGATTAGACCAGGCCCACCCTCATCAGTGAGGTGCTCTTATCGGGGTCAGGTTTGAATCCCTTCCTTCCCTGAGGCACCCCACTCACACGGATAACCTTCAACTGATTAAGCACGGCCTGCCCTCAAGAGTGAGGTGCTGTCTTGGTCGGTGCAGTGTTCCTTCCCCGAGGAACCCCATTCTTGCCTACAGCCGTGTGGCTGGACACCTAAGAGACCACATTTCTGGGGAGGGTGGGCCGTGTCCAATCAGTTGACGGCCATACCTGCTGAACCAGGTGTCTCAGAGAGGGAGGGAATTGTGCACGAACAGCACCTGGCTGTCTAAGCGGTTGAAGGTAGTAGGCTAAGAGACCACCCCACTGGTGAGGGTGGGCCGCAGCTCATCGGTTGCAGGTCGTACGCGTCAACTGATTAGACGTGGCCCACCTTCACCAGCCAGGTGCTGTTTGTGGTTGGTGCGGAATTCCTTCCTTCTCTGAGAAACCCCATGTACGACCTGCAACCGATGAGCTGCGGCCCACCCTCACCGGTGGGGTGGTCTCTTAAGACTTGGCGCAGAATCACTTTCTTCTCTGAGAAACCGCGTTCATGCCTTTCTACCTTCAACCGCTTAGACAGCCAGGTGCTGTTCATGCACAATTCCCTCCGTCTCTGAGACAGCTGGTGCAGCAGGTATGGCCGTCAACTGATTGGACATGGCCCACCCTCCCCGGAAATGTGGTCTCTTAGGTGTCCAGTCAGAATTCCTTCTGCCAAGAAACTCCCATTCATGTCTGTGACCTTCAACTGATTAGACATGGCCCACGCTCACATTCATGTCTGTGA